GGATGGATGGATGGATGGATGGATGGATGGATGGATGGATGGATGGATGGATGGATGGATGGATGGATGGATATTACTGAAAGAGAACTGACATCCTTAAGTTATTTTATACTTGCATTTCCTGGCTCTTCCACTGTTTGGGGTTTCAGATTCCGAATCATAGAACGATGGAGTTGGAAGGGGCCTATAAGGCCATCAAGTCCAACGCTCTGCTCAAGGCAGGAATCCAAATTTAATTACATTGAATTTTCCAGCAATGCTGGGGCTAGTGGCACTGGATCGCCATGTAATTCAAAATGCCCCCAAATGTGTAAGTACAAAGCATGGGGCAGTTTATTGAGCAGTAACCCATATCAGTCCTAGCCAATCCTCTGCCTGCTTCTCTTTTTCTGGTTTATCTTTTAAGAGGAGACAACAAGTAACACCGTGTATGCAATGCAGTGATGAGAGGGACGGGGCCGGTGGGGCGCTTCCAAGTTTGGCTTAAGTCGGCCCCTGCAGAATTAACTTGTGCAGGTTCAGACATGTTTGCTGCCATCTGGAATGCTGTCGTGAGAAAGCAGAGTGCCCTTTTACTGTCTCCCACAGTCCAGGCTCCCACAGCAAAATAGGACATTTTGCTATATATAGAGAACGTGATATACCAATGGTATGCTAATTTATTATTTACGCCACACTATACATGGTGCGTTGTCCATACATAAGATAGTGCCGATTAAAAACCCAGTCTTTCTCCAGAAGGCTTAGATGAATGTGCAAGTCCTAGTCAATGTCCATGGGAGAAAGGGGGGATTGAAAGTTTAGGAAGCTGATAAACCATCTGGTTGAGGACTGGCTTATATGAGGCTTAGGGGGGATTTCCCCCCCAAAAAAAACCCAACAACAACAACTTTGAAGACAATTTCTGGAATCCACCGGTCTTTTTGCAGTACTGCAAGGCTGTATTGTTGGGCAACAATTTGGCACTCATATAAAATCAACTCACTGTGGAAAGTGCTAAACAAGATCTCTTTCCTTCAGTGTGCTAGTTTTCCATATGCAAGGATCCGGATGCCCCTTTCTATTGTCAGAGCAGGTGAAATGCAACATCAGGAGAAGATAAAAGGGTTTGCAAAAGAGCTGCATGGAAGAGGTGTTTATAGATAAATACATATGTGTACCTGCAAATGTGAACGCTCTTAATGTTTTAAACCAAGAATGAGAAACCGGGGGCTCTCCCATGTGTTTTCAATTTTTAACATCCAGAGGCCCCAAACACCATAGCCAATTGTCAGGAATTATGGGTTTTTTTCCAACCCAAATATCCAAGATCACCATGTGTGACTTAAATAGGAATCTAACATCCCCGTGATATGAAGGAGGATGAATCAAGGTGACCAATGTGTCTTCTCAAGATGTTGAATGTTCATGAGCAACCATCACGAAGGCGTCCTTCTCTGCTACATTCTTATGGTGCTTTATTTTTCACATGGGTTTGGACACAGCAGCCTTCCAAAGAGAAGATGGCTTTGTGGATGTTGTGCTCCATAAAAAATGAAACACAACAGGTTTTGGATTATGCAGTCTCTTTACCCATAGCCTTCAGTCGTCTGGAGGGTTGTAGCTATGTGATAAGGTGCACACTTTACATCCAGAAAATCTTAGGTTTAATTTAAAAGCATCAGGAAGCAGATTGTCATAAAGACCATCATCTGCCCCGATCATGATAATAAGCTACCAGTTAGATTAGACCGTTGGTTCCTAACCTTGGGTTCCCAGATGTTATTGGACTGCAACTCCCAGAAATCCTGGCTAATGGTGAAGGCTTCTGAGATTTTTAGTCCAAGAACATCTTGGGACCCAAGGTTGAGAACTGCTGGATTAGACCATTTGGGTGAGATGAACCAATATCTTGACCGAGTATAACTTCACAGAGTATTTCCAACATTCTAGGTAAGACTTTGGGAATTCAGGAGAAAACGGTGCAAGTAGATTCGGTTTCCATCCTCGCTGCATCTTTCCACTTCAAAACAGAGCTACTATTATTAACCTTTAGCTAATTTTTTTACAGTGCACTATGATCACAGTGCTTGCATTAAACTCTGTATATTCCCATCGTTGGTAAATGAAAAGAAGTACTTAATTTAACCAGCATGTAACATTGTACATTTTTTTTTCCTGGGGATTAGATAGTATTTAGTGTACAGGTAAGCCTTTTTGCAGATCGGAGCTTAAGGTGTCATCCTATTGTACTTTAAGGATCAGCTAATGCTCAGCGGTGACTTGAAATCCTCCGTCTGTATGGGTAATTCAGATGTACTTATGAAAACCCATTCAGCATTGTTCTTGATGACATGACATGTTGGTTTCTTTGCATATCGCGCAAACACAGAGACGATTATATCCACGTTACACAATTATTTCCACTGCGGCTTTAACAGAACTTGCTATAATCTGAAAATCAGAAACCAAAAAAGAGAGTGCATTTTAAGATGCCGCTGAGAACATGGTGAACTTGTAGTAGTCTAATTGTCAGGGCTATCCCCAAAAGATCAAGGTAATTGTAGTTTCATGAGTTTATGGTACAGTATTACGAGTCTCATTCCTTCTCCAAAGAAAATACTACCACTCCACTGTGGACATGCTGGCCTTTTTTGATTGTGGAAGCTAAGCAGTGGCAGGAAGTGTTTGGAAGGAGACCTCCCTGCTGCATGCCATCTACCGCCAGGAAGGTCTTGGAAAACCCCCTGCCTGATTAGCTCTACATGGTAAAAGACCTCTTCCTATGTCATTTCACAATTCCTGAAGCTCAACAATGTACTCTATCTTTCACACATAGTATGCCTTCTGCCATTCTCTGCTTTGTGACTTTGGCAGCTATTAGGTGCCAGATTTTCTGATGCTCGGTGGAGGCTGAAAAGCAGAGGTAATTAAGGAAGCTCCATCATTCAAGCCCCCAAGCCATCACTCGTCTCTGCCGTTGGAACTGGCAAAGGGGCATTGCCCGCTGGGGCTATGTGTGTCAACCTTTTGTCTTCATTCAGCTTTAGTTCATTGGGTGAAATGCACATCCAGACATCTGTTGCTTTGATTCTGCTTGGACGTTGTCACATTTCTTGACTTAGTGATGTAATGGAAGCAGTTCTCCAGGTTCTGTGGCTGCCCCTCCTCATCTAATCCTTTTAACTGGAAATTGAACCTGGACGTAAAGTGTGTGCTCTACCACTGAAGTCCCACCCATCAGTGGGACCCAGATAATGGTCCTACTTAATGGATAGAGTCATCATCTGAGGTCCTATCATTGCCTAGTAAAGAGAAGACCTTTTTTGGTGGTTTTTCCCTGCTTTTGGTACCCTCCACCACACAGGATTCCTGAAATCTGTTCTGATGCATTTCTCATGCCAAAAGACGACCTTACAAAAAATATCCTGTACCGTTGTTGATCTGGTATATTTTGACCGTTGTCTTAGTTGTGTTCACTTTGGAAGCGATTTGCTGTTTTCAGCTGCATCATGCTCCGTAGTGCTTTTCCTGTTTTATTGTACCTTGGTTGGTAAGATGCAAAAATAAAACGACTCAATGTAGGAAGTGGCCCACTTGACAGAGCTTGGCAAAGTTTCTCTCTTCGACTGTGAGTTGTAGTACAAAAATATAAAGCTCTAGGGTGCTTTCCCAAAGTGTCTCTTCCCCACCAAAAAAAAGCTGACCTCTGTTCTGAAGGCAGGTTCAGACTCCGATGGAATAATAAGAATGATTAAAAAAAAATCCACTCCCTCGAGACAAGATTTGTTGTGACCTACTTCGAGATCTGAAAGTGCTGATCTGGCCGATGGTGTCCCAGCAGAAGCAAATCTCTCCTTTGTTGATGGAGGTTTTAGTGCATCACACACTCTCCTCCCAGCATTCCCTGGGGTTACACTGTGCTTACCCATTTCTGGGGAGTTTCAGTTACCTCTTTTCAGAGATAGCAACATTCTGTCCCTGGTCTTGAAAGCCATGTCACATTGACCGTGCATCAAGTTTTAGCGTGTTCTTCAACCAGCTAAATGGACCTGGCGTTTCTTTCCTATGTTTAGTTGAAGCTATCACTGGGGAACATTCAAGGAGCCTTGGATTTTGCCATGAAGCAGAGCTAATGGAAATATATATATTTGAAGATGTTGAACCTAATGAGTTGAGGACTTCAAATAGAAGGATGTAGCTGATTAGGTTACACAAGTCCAGAGCAGCTTTCCAAATTCCTTTAGCCTGTAGATCACCATCATAATTCTGTGCAAGACATCCCAGGTTTAATTGCCAGAATGTGCTGCTAGGAGAATGATGTTCACAATTCAGAGGAGCTGTTGCAGACAATAAAGGAGGGGGGAAGGGCAAGGTAAATAATCCAATGATTTACCTAACATTAGTCACAAATAGTTCCCTGCCAGCTTTCCCAAAGTCTTAGAAGGCTAAAACAGAATGGTTTTTTTTCCACCTATGGCGAGTAAAAGAGTCTCCAGATGACCATGCAGGGAAGGTGTGCATCCATGTGCCACAATTTCAGCAACATAAGTCAGTCCAACCCTAGTTCTGCATGTATTTAATTATCAGTATAACCATGGACATCAGACCATTTCAATGTGTTATGCAGTTGTCTGAAATCATGCAATTTGAAGGAAAATATAAATAGAATGTCTGCATTGCCCATAAATGGTGTATGAGTCTGAAGTATATTTGGGAGACAAGAGTGAAGAAAGATAAGATCTGTTAGGGAGCATGTGATAACAGAAGGGAGAACAGTCCACATTATGTGTCTGCTACTGCTCTGATCTATCTATAGTAAACATTGCTTTTTTAAAAAAAAAATTATGCAGGCTGATCTCTTGTAAGACGGAGCCGCAGATTGATTGAGAAAGACTTTTATCCCACTTTCCCAGCACTTGCTCAAAGTTGTTTGTGAAGATGGGGAAAAAGAAAATGTCAATAATATAAAATCTATTTTAAAACTTGAAAAAAAAAGAATTACAGGCAGCTGTAGCAGGAAGCTAGAAGAATTCCAGAAAGAGGCCAGAGGCCCTTTGAAAATGGAAATTTTGCAGCCCGTCTATGTGGCAGACATAAAGGTCCTTTTTTGGAGCTGGGCAGGAGGTATTCTAAAGGCATTCTGTGTCTGTTTGGTTTGTTCAGTCGTCGTTATTATTGTTGTACCATTCAAGAATCAGAACAACTTAGCTGATAGCGTATCTCACGCTAGTCTACCTCACTATGACAAGGATACAGGGACTGACTCGGCCAAGGTCATCCAGTAAGCTTCATGGCTGAGTGGAGACTTGAACCAAAGCTTCTTTTACTGAAGCTGACAAATCTTCTCGACAAACCCAGATTGCACCCCCCCTTTTTTTAAAGCACAAAAGCTAACACCACTCTCCATTTAATTCTCCGTATTTGAATTGTTTTGTTTTGGTGCAAATTTAAATGACCTAACAGTCATTTAAAGAGAGTGCTCAATCACTTGGGGAAAAGGGAGTGACTAGCACACCTGCTTAGCAGCGGGGATGATTCTCCATGGGTGGCTACAAGGCTTCTGCTGATCTGGCTGCTTATCGGCTTTCAAATTTCAATCAGAGGTGGCTTGGGCTACCCTTCCAAATGAGGATGCCTTGAAATAGAGGATTGCTGTCTGTAACGTAGGGCATATGGCCAACCATCTTTTCCTTTTGAGCCTCTCCAGGCATGAGTGCATAATTTCAGAGTCATGCATTTAAGTTGGGAAGACCTTGTAAGAATGGGAGGGATTTTCCCAGTACATGATGGGCTTCATTGTAAGGACTATGTTGTTCCTTAATCATGCAACTTGTAACCATGTTTCTTCTTTCTTTTGTCCGTTCTTTTGTTTGTCTTGCAGGCATTTCAGATGGCATTATCACATGTAAGTCCCTCCATGTCTGTTGCATCAATTTTTTAAAAAAACTATCTTGTTCAGAAAAGTAACTTTAAGTACTCTGCTGGGGAAAGTCAAAGGAAGTGTCTGTTGCATCAATTAAAAAAAACTGTCTTGTTCAGAAAAGTAACTAAGTACTCTGCTGGGGAAAGTCAAAGGAACAGAGAAGGCTAGTGAGTCCGATTCCATGGAGGTGGTGAATCCACTCCAGGTATTCATGCAGATTTTAAAGGGAGCTGTTTGGAGGAGATGGTGCAGCACCTTGGATAACTCCAGGAGAGTTTTGAGTAAAACTTGGAGTGGGTGAAGAGCCCCCATGAAACTGGACTCACCAGCCTCCAATGAAAAGGAGAGAAATGTTTGTGTGGTGGGGAGTGAGACCTGGGAAAAAAGGGGGGGCAGAACATGGTCAACCTTAAGCTCCCAAAGATGGGCAAAGAAGGTGCACAGGTAGTGCCTGAGGTGTGTCTTCAAACATTGAGAAATGACTGAAAGAAGACATAAAGGAGGCGAGGATGCCCCAAATAGTTGTACTTGGCCTTACCTGACCGTGCGTTGTGGCCAACACAAGGGCTATGTGAAGAGCAGGGTCAAGTCTTAATGGAGGAGATGGGTTTTGAGGGGTGCTCTGGAGGGACAAGTATGTACAGGACACCTTGAAGAGTGCCTCAGATGGCATAAGGGCCAAGTGAGGAAGAAAGAACAGAAGCTAACAGAAGGTCTGGACTTCTTTGCATTGAGTGGGTGTGCCATCATCCAGGAACGTTGTCAGTCATGAGATCAGAACTGGGGGTCCATCATCACTCCAACACTAAGGAAGAGGAGTTTTTTTTGGAAAGCAAGAACTTCCCCAATAATTGTTTAGATGTTTCAAATAAATGTTGATGGGGGTATAATATTGTTTAGTGGGTTTAGCTTGTTTTCCCCTGACTTGTAAGAGAATCATTTTTTCTTTTCTCTTTGTTTTCAGTTGAGTATAGTCCAAGCCCTACTCCTCTTATCACAGTGACGCACAAGCCAGAAGAAGACACGTTTGGGGTAAGACTTGTGGGATCAAGGGAAGGGGATGGCTTTGTGTTCCTTGCGGAGAAGGGATTTGGCTGCCTTAGAGCTCTTTCTGAAGTTTTAGCTTGAACTCAACCCTTCTTGAATGCCCACACGAAGCCGTTGATGCCTAATGCTGTGGTTTGCTTGTTTGTATGGTTCTTTTGAGCCAGCCTTGATTCCATTCCATTTTATTCCTTGCCTCCTTCTTCCCCTCCCCTCCCCCTGCACTTTTCCCCTTTTCTTTTCTTAAGAGAGGAGGAGAAACCAAAATCAGCTTTCCCAGCCTTGTGCCCTTTGTCTTTGTTGGCCTAGAGCTTGCCTATGTTGGTAGGAGCCTCATGGTTATTAATATAGGCATATATGGACACTCCACCCTCTTCATCTTAGCCCTCATATGTGCACAGCTATGTCTCAAAGAGGATACACGGATGTCTCTGTGTACGTGCTATTTCCATGTGACCAGAAACCTTGATTTTTCAAGTTTCCTCATCAGAGACACCACACAGCTAAAAGACTATTTACCTCTGCGGATTTAGCTCTCAACCAGAAAGTAACTAGAATGGAAGCATACATAACTTGCCTATTTTGTTTGCTTTGGGGTTAAGATTCACCCTTTTCTTGAACATCTGAATAGGGTTAATTTGTCTTGCTTGCAATTGAGATAATCGTGAAAAATTCTTCAGTTCCCTAGTGTGTTTGTGTACAGGGGATGGGTGAGTGATATTTCAAGTGAAATCTGGTTGGTTGCCAAGAGACAGAAAAAAGTCCCTACATATAACTGTGTGTATGTGTGTGTACGCATGCAGGCAGGCACATTGGCAGATGCTGCCTCTTTCTGCATTCATGCATTGATAGTTGGCCAGTGTATGAAGATTTCTATGAAAGAAAGATATTCAGCATTGCATATATGTGTGAGTTTGTGTTTGTATGTCATTGTGAGTGGCTTTGGTGTTATGAGTAGTCAGTTATCAAATGCTAGGCATGGGATTTTCAGAGTTTGTGCATTCTCACCCCAAGGAGTCTACAGGAATACCCTCACCCACGTATCTTGGGACGTTAAATCGAGTCCTGGCAGCTGTTTTCAAGTTCTTATGCTAATGAATTCAGATTCCAGCAGACATCTTTGTCTTGTGGAGAAGACAAGGGGAAAGGGTGTACAAGGCTAAAGTCAATGGGAGCTGCAAGGGATTATAGGTGTGGTAGTCTCTGCTCATTAGGCTCTACATAGGAAGCCTCTTATTAAAAAAAACTCCTTGGCAGACCCATAATCCTTTGTAGAAATTCCCCATGCACGTACTTTTTTCTTTCATTTTCTTTTTTAAATCAGAGGAGAGGTGCTTCCCATATTTTCTTCTTCTAGTGCTAAAACTGCCCGGTCTTAGGTATTGTGAAGTTTGCCTTTGCCTGTTCATGGGAAGGTGTCGTTTGCTCTGTCACTTTGCCCAGCAGAATGATTTGTCCTGTCCTCATTACCTCTTTCAAATTTTAAATTGTGGGTGGTGAGTTGGAAAGGACCCTCACAATGAACTGGCTGGCCAAACGCTTCTGCCATTTGGCTGCATAATTGCTACAACGGATTTAAGTGAACGTTCCAAAACGCTCATTCGAACACCCAAGGCACATGTTCTGACATTCACTTCTTCCCCTGCGGGTTTCCAAAAGGCCACCTGCAGCCAGAAAGCCATGGCAGAAAAATACCTCAACAGACTTGATAACATGCACCATGTATAAATAAAAGCAGCCAGATAATCCGAGGCTGGATGAGGCACCAGCCTAAGAAGGAACAGAACATCTCTTTATTTTATGTGACGTGTATTTCATTTTTAAAGGAAAGGGTTTTACAAGCAAAGCTAGCTGCAGAGAGCAGAATGATTGTTTTTCCCAATGCAGGAGGAAGAACCCCTGAGAGAAAGCTGTCTGTGTACTGAAAAGCCAGGAATAAATATTCTGTCAATATGTGCAGAAGGAAGCGGCTGGTGCCTCTAGCAAAGTTTTCTCTCTGGAGCAGATCTTGCCTGCTCTGTTTTCTGTCTTGCCCCTTTTCTCTTGCTTTGTTTTTGTGTCTCCGCATTGCCTTCCTCCATCCCCAAGGGTACTGAAGGAGACAGAGTTGCTACTTCGACATCATGCATCTGAACTTGAATGTCCTTTTTGGGGCACTCTGCCCATCACAGTGCAAAAAAGCCTGTATCTCCCATCCCATGCATGCTCGCTGGAGAACTGTGACGAAATCCTGGCTCTGATCGAATGCCCTAGCACACCTCATTCCTGGGTTATCCTCTCTTTTTGTGAAGGTGCATCACAACTTTGAAAAGATACATTGGACTGTATACCGACTAAAGGACTGTGTTGGGGTTTTTAGTCCGACCTTTAACATTTCCAAGCTGTCGGATGGAGACTCTGTGGAATAAAAGGAATGTGTGAAAAGACTGTTGGCTATCACATTCCAGGTTTTTTGTTATATTGTATGAGAGAAAGAGGGAAATAGAGTTTGCTAATATGTCTAACCTGAAAAGCCAAGCAAAGGGAACGGTACAGTTTTAAAATCTTCACCAATACACTTCAGTCAATAGTGCACGTCTACCAAAATAGGTGCATTTCTAAAACACACCTTTTGTCAGAAATGTTCTAATGTTCACAGAATGGCTTTTGTAAATACCTAGTCACCACCCCCGCACACAACTATTTCATGTTATAACCCACACGCACACCTTGTGTGTTTCTTTTCATCAGTACTTGACAACTGGATAGCTCAGTGATTTAGCTCTCTAGCTATGGAGCCAGAGGTTGGGAGTTTGATTCCCCACTGAGCCTCCTTGGAAGGGGCTGAACTCGATGACCTATAGGGTCTCTTCCAGCTCTGCAGTTTTAAGATTATCATTATGATAATAAACCTATATCCGGATCCATGGAGCTGCCATGGATATTTGCACAGCTTCACAATATGCAATTATATACTGAAGACACTGGTTGAAAACCGTTAGCTTTCTCACCTCTGCACAGTCCTTATCCATTTCCCCAGTTTTTCTTCTGTCTTCTTTTCTATGCCTTTATTTCTTATTTTAAGCAAAACATGCATGTGTCATAGCTTCCCACTGTATCATATTTATTCTTACCATACATTATAATCACATAGAAAAAATGCAGTGAAGCCTCTTTGAACCTTGCAATAATCATACTTGATGAGCCACTAACATTCAACATGTTTTTTCACAGGTATCCATAGCTGTTGGACTTGCAGCCTTTGCCTGCGTCCTCCTGGTGGTCCTCTTTATTATGATCAACAAGTATGGCCGGCGGTCGAAGTTTGGAATGAAAGGTATGAGTTAATCTATTTCCACACACACACCCCAGTGAGTTCTTTCAGCATGCTGGGATTTTTTTTCCCGTACTCTCTTTGTCTCCTGGTGGACCTCAGTCCTGGTTTTGCTGATACATTCCCAGTGGACTGCCAGCCTAGCAGTTCAAAAGCATGCAAATGCAAGTAGATAAATAGGGAGCACCTCGGTGGGAAGGTCACAGCATTCCATGTCTAGTTGCGCTGGCCACGTGACCATGGAAACTGTCTACAGACAAATGGTGGCTCTGCGGCTTGGAGACGGGGATGAGAGCACTGCACCCTAGAGTTGGACACGACTGGACTAAATGTCAAGGGGAACATTTAACTTTACCTTTCCCAGTGGGAATCCATGTTGGATATAGAAATGCCTAAACCAGAAGTGCCAAACGGAACTATATCCCAATTACTAAATGAGGAATGTCCATGCTGTGATAGAAAACAGAGACTTTAGCAACAGGTGGTAAGCACAGGTGTATGTGTGACTGCAGGTGGCCAGAGTTAATCATTGTTTTGCACATTATTACTCCTTGTTTATGAGTCTGCATGTCAGAGTTTCAACATTGCTAATGAACAGTTTTTCTTCCAGTGATAATGGAAGCGATAATGTGGGCAGCTTCTTGAAGCCTATAGATGCATGGCAGAGAAAGGTGAATGATTGAATAGGATGTCCAAGGTTGATGTAGGTATGAATGGCTAGGCTATCTGTTCTAGCTCTAAGGATTATGAGATGTTAATCAAGGGAATATTGCCTGATTTACAGAATGTTCTCTGTTTTGTCCTGGTTCTTTGGGTATTCATTTGTTGCCTTCATGGTGCTTCGGAGTATGGTTCCTACCATTACTGTTGAATACCACTGTGTTCGTCCTGTCCTGATCATATGTAGGATCGTGGCAGATGGCTATGGGTGGCTTTACCAACCAGGTAGTGCCTTGTGTAGAACTAGAGTTTCAGAACCATGGACAGCTCCAAGCTGCTTTGGCACATACTTGAGATTTTGTCTTTGACTTGGGTCATATACCTCTGTTCCCCCAGGGGTCTCTGTACCCTTCCTGAAACTGGAAAATCACAGGAAGGTGAGGTTGTCATTTGGAATCTCTCACCCTGTTGCTGCTCAGTTTACTTCCATGTTGTTTATTGCCTAATCTGTTAAGGAGAAACTGGGTTATGTGTAACCCAAGCATAAAAGCTGAAATACTTTAGGGAAAATTGAGTCATGGAGTTTTTTTGTGTGGCTCCTATTCTTGGAGTTGGGAGCTCAAGGGACATGATTTATTTTATTTTGTTATTTCATTTCTGTACCATCCCATTAGTGCATATGTATTGGGATTTTGAACATGCTAAACGCAAAAACACCCAAACAAACAATAATGGAAAAAAGGAAGAATATTTATAAAGAAATAAAAGTATCATAGTCTATGGATCTTGGAGTTATCACAGTTCATGATAAAATGGACATACCAAAGGAAATCGGACCATGAGTGGACAAATCTCAGTACCTCTTTCCTTCAGATTCTAATTTCTTCCTCTTTGTCTTTGTGTTTCAGTGTTAAGCTCCTTTGGTCAAATTTGCAAACAATGTCACAAAGTTTGAGAAGTGTTTTATCAAAAATGATTGAAAGAAAAACACTCACACTTCTGCACTGGCTAAGTTCAATGAGTAGAGCTGTTCCTAGTATGGAAAGGATCTTGTTATATCTGGCTGCCCTATGGGTGTTGATGTTGAAATGCCTGTTTCACCATCACAAACAGGGTGGTGGGCCAGGCAAGGATTAAAGAGCTAAGCCCTCACCATTCTCTGTCTGGATCGGCAAGTCCATCAGATGTTGTGCACCTTTTAATACGGAAAAGCTGTTCTCTGTTTGATAAGCTCCTCTACCAAATGGTCATTTCCACAACTTTTCTCGTAAATCACTGACATAAATGTCCTTCTGCAGAGTTTTTAAAGGCCTTTTTTTATTGGTGAAGTCGTTAAGCAGAATCTGCAGCATATGAAGGTAGCTCCAACATAGGATGGCTCCTTCTTCCTTCTGTGATTTATCTTGACACTATATAAGTGAAATGCACAATCGAAACCTTTTGCTTGTTATTTGTAAGGAGAAGGGGGTGTTGTTGCTGTTTAAATAATCTTCCCATACCTCTTGGGTATGTATGTTTTGGGGGGCCTCATTTACGAATAGTGATTGCACAGCTTCCCAATGGATGCAAACACAGCACCTCAACAAATTATTGCTCCATGCACAATTAGTTTAATTGTGCACCGTTCTAAATTTCATTAGTAGTGAGTTAATACCTGTCACATACAGCACTGATGGTACCTGTCTGTCATGGGTTTGGTCATATCACTCTTTTGGATTTTGATGACTGGCAGTTGATAACTGCCATGACTGCCTGGTTATTGCACCAGAATTTCACCCGTTTATTTTGGCTATAGCTATTGGAAGCATTTCTAAGAAGGTGAGGTCTCGTGAAATGCTTGTTTCCGCACATCCGGGTAGCCACTTTCAGTTGAAATAGGGCCTGAAGCCTAAGCTTCCTGCTGAATATTGGTTCCAAGCTCCCATGGTGCCTGCTTTGACTTGTTGGTTGGCTTCCCATTGCGGGTTTCAGTTTTCCGAGTTGAGTCAAGCAAAAAGGATGCTCCTTCCTTCCTGGGCCATGTGGTGGTCCCTGCAAACTTCTGGATATGGGCCTTCCATGGAAAAACGTGCAGGAATATCAGATGTTCCAGATTACTAGGGCTGAGTGGCTCAACAGGAATTTGCAGGACAGAATGGAGTTTGAGAATCGCTGCTGATTTCCATGTATCATTTCAGACATTGGCTGAAATCCTGTTGCTTTCCATCATAAGTAGCTCTAGACTCGACCCACCAAATCCATAGGGACTTGGTGGGTCATCTCCTCCGTATGTTCCATTGGTTCAAAGCAGCCTAGTTTTACTACGTCAAAGCAAGTGGCAATGAGAGCCGGCCAGTTTGAATCAATGCAACTTACAGAAAAGTTGACTGACCCAGTCACCATTGATTCAGTGGGCCTACTCTGATGTGACTTACTACATTGAGCAACAGGGTCTTAGCCACTGGTGTTAAATGCTACAAAGCTGTGCAAGGTTTCACTGTTTTAAAATGTTATTTTCATACATGCTGACTAATACGGTCACCTCTTTGAAAATGGCATTACAGTAATTTGTTACAGTATTCTACCTGTATATCTCTGATAGAGCTCTATATTAATGCCTATCTATCTGTCCATCTACGTATCCACCCTGTTTCCCTGAAAATAAGACCTAACCTGAAAATAAGCCCTAATATGATTTTTCAGGATGCTCGTAATGTAAGCCCTACCCCCAAAATAAGCCCCAGTTAAGTGAAACCCCACCCTCTATTGTGCAGCAATCAGGAGATGACTGTAAAATAAAACATTCCCTGAAAATAAAACCTAATGCGTTTTTTGGAGCAAAAATTAATGTAAGACATTACATTATTTTCCGGGAAACACAGTATATAGTAAATAAAAACGGAAGCATCTGGATTGAATGGTGTAAGAAACATTGTAGGTGTTTTATCTTTTAATGGATCATTTGTTTGTATCATTAGGCCTGTTCCTTAAGCTAGCAAATGAGGATGAGGGTTTGTTATGGTGGCGGAAAACTCTTTTATTCTTGGGTCCTGAGAACCTTGAATTCCTGCGATGAAAGGAAGAAGGGCCAGGCTGGGAGAACCTTAGAAAAGGAAGATGAAAGAATACTTCAATGATTACTTGCAAGACGTTATGCGATGTTTAAGGAGCTGCTTTATCATTGGCTCATTTGATATTCATTTCTAATGACCCTGATCAGAGTGACTGCACGGACGTGGAAGTCAAAGGTACTTGCAGTGCAGTTCTATTGTGCTTTAGAATCCATTAACGGGCACTTGAAAGCAAAGTGGCCACCTCTTTGATTAAGATCTTGGGCCAGAAGTACCATCGTTAGGATTGAAAGGGGACCTGCTCTAACAGTGTCGGCTTAAAGACAGAGAGGTGGTCTGAGAGATCTCAGACTGCACCCACATCTAGATTTGAGCGTTGTCTTCTCCTGCCCTGATCACTCTATGGGGAATGCTAGAAAAGCTAGGTTCTGAAATTACCATAAGGAGAATTTTTGCTCTGATGACCAACAACACGGCCCTACCATTAGGCATGGGTAGGCAATGCACAGTCTTCAGGGGACCAAAAGCAGGGTCTTGCAATGGAGGCACTCAAGATTCCTACATTCCTCCCCCAAAAAACATTACAGTTGTTTCTTGGGGGGAAAAATCAGGCTGAAAAATGCCTAGAAGACAGGTGTATGTGTGTGTGTGTGTGTGTGTGTGTGTGCTATTTTGCTGCATTGTGAGATGCCCCAACAATGGGTCGCACCCCACCACAATGTTTATTTCATATTTTTTGTTACTAAAGAACATGGGAGGTGTTAAAAAACCTCTCAATACATCCATTTTTAAAAGGAAATTGGGTGGGAGGATTGTGAGTAGAGACCAGTGAAATCCAGAGGTATATGTGCATAGCCTCATTCCTTTGCTTTGGAGAAGAGAATCTCTATATTTCAAGGAGTGTAAAGGTGGTTGGTGCTATTTAAGACATCACACCAGTACAATAGGGGATGTAAGACATTGTCTAACAAAGAGTGATGGGGCTAGACCTTGGAACCTCTAGTTTTCATGCTAAATTGGTGATGTATTCACTTATCAGGGGTTCCCAATGTATTGTAGTGGATAGAGTGATGAACTAGGACTCTGGAGAACAGGGTTCAAATCCCGGCTCATCCATGGAAGCTCGCTTGGGGTGTGGAATTGGTAAAATTGCAGCTATAATGTCTCACTTATCTTGAAAGCCCATCAAGGATGACAGTAAGTCAGTTCTGAATTGACAACACGTAACAACAGCATTCACTTACCAAGGCTAAATTGTGAAAAGAAATTAATTAATTATCTTAATTTGCTAAT